GCTGCGCCCCGCTCCGCCAATGGGCGTCGGGCGCTGGAATGAACCGGGCACCGGCGCATCATTTCCTCCCGGCGCCGAGCCAGCGCGCCGCCCCTCGCCCCCGGGTAGGGCCGGGGGTCCCGGCGCCGCACGAGTCCTTGCTCTCGCCCAAGTGCGGGGCCTGCTCCCGGGTCCAGCCCCTGTCCCCAAGCACGGGGGGTGGGGGCATCTCTGAAGCCCTTGGGCGGATTCACGGGACTCCAGCAGCCGGGGCTTCAAGGGTTGACCCTGAGAGCGGGCTTTCGGTACAGGGGGACAAGTGGGCCCGAGTGGGAGCCAGCCGGCTGCTGGGGAGAGGCTGCGTAGCGAGGGAGGCGAGGAGCGCCCCCGGCGCCAGACGGGGCCGGAGCAGCCTGTCTAGCAGCAGACAAACTTGCCCTCCTAAACGCGGGCTGTGCCCGGCACAGCTAGCTCACGGAGGGGCTAGGGAAGCAGGGCTGGACGGGGCCTCACGAGGTCATCTAGCTCAGCCCCCTGCTCAAGGCTGGGTCGTCCCTGAGTAAAGGGCCCGGCCAAGTGTCTGTCCGTCTGTCGAACTTGCTGTTCCCAAGCACCGGGACGGCGCGGCTGCTCCAGTGCCTGACCCCTCTCGTGGTCACCAAGTTCCTCCTCGTCTCCAGCCTAAATTTCCCCTGCTGCAGCTTGAGGCCTTTGCTCCTAGTCCTGTCCCTTATAGCCATCTCTATCCTCTCTATAATCATCACCCTTCAGGTATTTGAAGAGCTATACCAAATCTCTCCTCAGTTTTTCTTCTCCAAGCTAAATAACCCGAGTTCTTTCAGCTTTTTGTCATAAGTCTTGCCTCCAAGGCCCCTAATAATTTCTGTTGCCCTGTGCTGGACTCCTTCCAAACAGTCCATGTCCTTCTTGAAGTGCGGGACCCAGAACTGGACGCGGCACTCCAGGTGAGGCCTCACCAGTGCTGAACATTGCCACCAGCTGGGAAGATACAGGACCTCAGGATCTCAAATACTTCCATAGGTGACTAGTCTTCCATAAGGGAAGCCACTGCCAACACACCTTCACAGTTACTGGTACCCAAGGTAATTAATTTAAAGCTAGCTTAGGCATGCACGTGCATGCCCCTATTGCATCTCTCATTGCAGTGTAGACCAAGCCACAGACCTCATCTCTAGGTTTGAATTCTTTTCTCTACCTCTTGCCATCAACCTCTCCGGCCCCTGACAAATGTCACACCAACATGTGACAAGTGCTAGTCCAAGTGAGGCACAATGACAAGGTGCGTTGCCATTTTGCCTCAAGCTCTACATGCGCGTTGAGCTTTGGGAAGTGAGGAATAGGGAATGCATTGAAGGTGAGGGTACAAATTCAGTTACTTTGATAAATTTTCCCTTCAGGTATGTCCGCAGCTCCCTTCAAGGCAGTGGGCAATAGGCTGGCAGAGGTATAAGTAGAGGAGGAATTAGGTTCCTATAGTGTTTAAAATGGGGAAGAGCCATTGATATTACTGGTAAAAATACAGCCCCTCTTCTCTCACCACTCCTGCACACCTTCCTCCCCCACCCCCCCATCCCCCACCAAAAAAAGGATTCAGGGCCTGCAGCATGAAAACTTTGGGAGTCATGTAAAGTACAATACATGTGGAAACCATTTACAAAAAGCAAAGTGTGCTTGCGGAAGCTGGGTGTAGCAGCCTTTTGGGGATGGTTATTGGTCCATACTATTGGAGCCAGGGATCTTTTAATCTCAACAGGGAAATTGAGTATGCTTTAGTCTTAGAAAACAGAGAGGTGTGGTTCCTTCAAAAATTAATCTCTCAGGATTGGGGAAGGTAAGCAGAGAGCATAGAAAATGGATTTGAGGTAGAAGGATTATGCAGCTGGATATTGGCACTTCCCTTGGATTAACTGAACTGATATTACATTTTCTTATAACAAGTACTCAGGGCCGCATGTTCTCTTTCTGCATAGAGTGTAAAACCTAAGCATGTTATATTTTTCTAAGTACAATGCCTGAAAGAATCTACCAGAAATTATCAAATTCTACTGTTACCCATCTCCCTCAGTTGGAAGATACAAATCAATTAAAAGGAGAATCTACCCCTACTATTGTTACTCAGTGATTTTTAGTTTTTTTACATCAGACACTTTATTGTATTAAAGCATAGCTTTGCTATAGGGAAATGTAATCAGATAAAGCTGGAACCTTGGAGCTAGACATTTTGTAAAGCAAAAGGAGAATGTTGGCTGTGGTTCAGGAGGCAATATGGAAAATAGGAAAACGCAACATCTGGGGCTCATCACAAAAGGCAGTTTACAAACTCAGGGTTGGGGAGAGGCTCTGTTGCTAGTAAAAACTGTTCATCTGGTCTCTCTGGACTCCATTCAAATTGCTTTAACAGGCAATGATCAACTTAAGCAGCAAAGTTATATTTTTTATTTATAATGGCAGTTTTTAAAGAGTGCCATTTTAACTCTGCAATGCAACTTGGCTGCATAGTGATAAGTATTCCCAGCCATAAGGAAAAGTTGAGCCAATCTGTTGTCTCTATTTACTATATTATACTGAAGAATGAAGCATATAAAATTGGATTCATCTTTTAAAAGTCTGTTGTTCTCAAACTATTTCTTACTCTTTTGTAGCTACTGTGGTGTCACACTAAACATGGAAAATTAAAATAAAAAATAACCACAATAGAATTAAATTAACTACCAACAGAGTAACTGTAGAATATTATGTGGGAGACTGTCAAGGTTGTTTTTCAAGATTTTTATTGAGATCATGGATGCAGCCCAGCTTAATGCATTCAAACTGATGATCCATATATCTGCCTCACAGGAATGAACATAGCTGAATGAAAAGGAAAACAAATTGATTTATAGTCATTTTGTAAATAAAAAGGACAAATCTGGGTTCAGTGTTATTGTTATTTTGAGGTATTTTTGCAACTACTGTATAAATAAATAATACAAGTCCTAAAAGATACCCAAGAAAATTATTCCTCTGAATACTATTAGGGAACATACATCATCTGCTATGTGTGACCAGTAATTATCCTGATTAAAATGTTTGTTATTTGATTAGGGATTGCATGCGACTTACAGACCAGCTGAAGACTGAATTTGGGTTTTGAATCATTCGCTAACCAAAGCACTAGCTAACTTCATACCCAAAAGTTTGACCAACTCCAGAAACAAATGATAAAGACACTGTTGTTCTGATACAGACCAAAGCCATTTTTCATTTCTAAAATGTAATCCTTGGGAATAGGAACAATGCCATTTTATGTCCCTTAAATTAACTCTTCACATTTCTCTTTCCAACATGCCTTGATATAAATCCAAACATCAGAGACCTTACCTCATTTTAAATTGCAGCCGACTCTGGAGTATGGAGTTGCTATGCTAATTAGTGGGGCCCACAAAGCCTGAATGATCTGAAGGAGTGGAAGCTGGCATAGAGAATCCTGTGACATGCAAACAAATGACAAAAGATTATAGCTAATTTCCCTCAATATTTAAGTAGATTAACCCCCAGCCAGGCAGGATGAATTTACCTGCACTGCACAGTTAAACTTTAAGGAAATCCTGATGCATACAATCACCAGGTTTACTCTTATTCATAATGGTCTGAGATCCTTTTAAGATGAGAGTATCAACCCAAGAAAAAATTTAGAAACCTAATAATGAGAAGGATTATTTATAAATAGGGCCTGGTCTACATAGGGGTTGTGCACCAAATTAAGACAAGCTCAGCTATACCTGTAAAAACACCTTTCTGTTGATAGATCTTTGTCCGCATTTGGAGGCTGCACTAATTTAACTAAATCTGTTTTGCTACTGATTACAAGTTGGGCAAAAACTGAGTGTTGACAAGGCCGAGATGTTAAACACTTGTCCATATCTGGGAAAAGGCATTTCTTTTTTTTAAAAAGGGGATTCAATGAGCCTGATTTCAAACCTAATTGTACCCAATTAATATCAGTCAAGCACTTATGGGGAGAGGATAACATCTGGGAAACCATGCACCATATTTTAAACAAATTCAAGAGACTCATACTGGATAGTAAATACCATGGGTGACTCAACCAATGCTGTTTGTTGTCCTCCCTTTTGTATCTCATGCATTTCCCTGATCAAAATCCAGTTATAGCTAGAATTATTCCCTCTACTCAGCTAAACTTCATCTAATAGGTTTTAAAAAACAACTCAGGAGATCACTTGGCAAAGATGTGCAAGCTGTAGGGTCTACTGACTCTAGCTCACTGACGGTGAAGGAACAAGCCATCCTGAGGTGCAGGAAGACTAGCAAGTATGGTAGAAGACCAGCTTGGCTTAGCAGGGAACTCTTCAGTAAACTACATCACAAAAGGGAAGCTTATAAGAAATGGAAACTTCAACAAAAAACAAGGGAGAAGTATAAAAGTAGTGTTCAGGAATGCAGGGATGAAATCAGGGGGTGCTTGTACATGTGATGAAAATTGCCCATTTTTGTGGTTTAATAGCATCACACTTTACATGTATGGGGTTTTTTGCAATTTAAATGAGTTTGTTACATTGCAAACTAAATCACATCCCCATGTAGTTTAATTTGCAGCATAGCTACTTATAACATTGCAGCCTTTATTCTGACAGCACAATCCCCGGACATGGGAGAGGTGGACTGAAGGCAAAAGTAGCAAGGGGCCCAATCCTTTTTTTTTCTTTTTCA